AGTATTTAAACACTTGTACTTAAACATGATTTCATGATTAATTATAATCCAAGCACAGTCTTGAAGACTTAAAGTGCTATTTAAAAAAAAAAAAAAAAAAAAAAAATGAGGCAAATCTTGGGAGAACAAAGATGGTAACAAATTACAGAAGTCATGCAGATTCAAAGTAGAAAGGTAAGAACTGGGAAGGTTAAAAAAGGAATAGACCAGAGTGAGATAAAAGAGAATAACCCTTATTCAGGTTAACTCACAGAAGTCAAACCCCTAGATAACCAAACAGGAAACGTTGCAATGAACTGTCATGCAATGACATGACTTGTCGCCCAAATTTCAGGGCCAGAAAAAGAGATAGCACCAAAACCTACAGATTCCCATGGCCTACAGAATACAAGGGGCAAGACACCATTGGTTAGTTGAAAAAAAAGCCAACCTACATTTCTTGTGCAGTTCTGGTCAAGAGTAATTTTCTAGATAGAATAACAATCTCCCTGCTTTTGATTCTTAGGATTAAATCACCCAGTATTTGAGAAATATTAGACGCTCTAGGGATAGAAACCAACAGATCCATTGTTTTCCTGACAGCCCCATCTGAACATGTATCAAATACGTTGAAAGGCTCTTCATGTGTCTTATACCTCAAAGTTTTTCAAAACATCTCTTTCCAGCAGCACAGAGTCCACATAAAGCTCCAGAAACAGAAGTAAAATGTGATGTGAATGGTCCCTGAAATAGTTCAGTTCCCATACAGGTACAAATCATCTCACTTCACAAAGTTGAGGGTTTTTTCTTCTTTTTACAATTTGGGGGTTTTTTTGTTTGGGTTTTTTTGGGGTTTTTTTGTTTGTTTGTTTGTTTTGTGTGTTGTTTTTTTTTTTAAACCCACATATTCATTACTGGGACTATTTTGTCAAGTGTTGGGGTTTTTTTGGATGAGAAAAGTAATTTCCATTATGAAAAAAAATAAATTATGGACAGATGAGATGAAAAATATGGAAGTCTATATGTTCCATGAAGTTCTACAAGTTTGTCATCCTGATTTGGCAGAGAAACAAGTAGAATAAATGCAGTTCCTGCAGTACAAAAATCCTGAATTTCTCTTGCTTCCATTTCAAGTCACAACTTTCAACTTTTGACAAATATCATCTGTCAAAACATCAATTAATACCAAATATAAGCATCTTCCTGGTCCTCAAAGTATTGACCTTGTATAAACAACAACAAAACATCCCATTTAAATGATTAACATTGCCCTTTGTTTGTATGTTAGTTTAAGTTATAACCTCCAGAAACATCTTTAATTTTCGAAGCTGTAAACATATTTAGACAGTGGATTAAACAGACCAGCAGTGTTGCTTTTCTGGAGATTAGAAAGATAAATTCTCTGCCCACTTGAAGAGTAGCCCATATTTCAAGTTCTTTCAGCAAGATTATGTCTTTCTTCAGCTTGTTTTTGTTTGCTTCATTTTGGTTTCACTTGGTTTTGGAATGGGGGTGAGCGAGTTGGTGATGGGTTTTTTTACCTAATTTCCCTACAAGACCCTCATTTATTTTCAAAAAATGTCTAATTATGCTGTGTTTCTTACAGTTGCAACACTGAACAGAACACATAATTCAAGAAGCAAAAACAGCATCCTGTTTCACTTTTGGTTATGAGTATTCTCTCTTTTATTGAATTACTTTAGATTCAGCATTCCAAGTGTTGAATTTACCATCCAATATGGAAAGTATAAGAAACCATGTCCTTAATGAAAAAAAGTCTGTGTAGTTTACAACTTTAATTTACAGAAAACAAAGTTCAAAGAATTTTTGTTACACAGGAAGAGGGGCAGGGACATAACAGGTTTTATTCCAGATAGAAAAGTCAAGGTAAAAGCTTACCAGAAATACAGAAAAACAATAGCAATATAAAGATACAAGGAAAGGGTAACAACATTTTCCAAAAGCTATACTAAAAATAGCTACTTCAGAATGGGGATGTGTGCACCTCTAAGGAATACAATTACACTTCATATGCTGTAGTGAACTGGTTATCACTGATGAAAAACAGATAACTTTTATGACCATGTAAAATGCTTTACATAGGACTAACAGCTTTTGGAGAGTAACTAGATTAGTTCTTTATAAAAATGACCTATTGCCAGTTGTTTTCTCTCCTAGGAGACAAAACCATCAGTAAGTTCCTAACTCACTGAAATAGAAAATAAAGTTTCTGTAACAATAATTTGTATTTTTCCTCAGGATACTTTTAAATACTGCATCTATAGGAGTCTAGATATCAATTACAGAAAGTAGGTCTGCCAGTGTGTTAGAAAACCATTAACACAGTGACTCAGTACTCTAGAGACTTTCAAATGCAAGCTGTAATTTCCCATAAAATCTGAGGAAAGAGTGTAAACAACAGTTCATGCAGCACCAAAACTTGGTTTAAGGCCCCAGTTCTAAATTCCTTACACAGCCACAATAACTTCGGACTTTAATGATTGCTGTGGAAACACTTGGAGTCTGTTTCCATGCGTATGGTACACTTTTCCTATGGATACAGATATTCTTACTTGAGGATGTTTTTATTTCTGAAGTATTCTGACCTAAATGTGAGGCAAGACACAGTTGTGGTGCTACACAGGACTGACCATCAGTTGAATTTGTGTTAGATTTTCGCTGTGACAGGACACAACAACACAGACCCTCAGGTGAATTCAAGTCCCTTTTCTCAAAAAGCAGGAGCATGAGCTGGAATCCTGAGACAGGCATACATCCTAGGCTTGGATATAGGAACAATAATGAATTAAAAATACTTGAATTTTGTTATTTTGAAAGCTAAATTTTTTTAAATCCTCTTTAAACAGGGACCATATCACTCCTTTTTCTAACCCAGACAAAAAGCCTAATCTCATAAAAATTCCATTTCTTTGGAAAAGCTGTTACGTAGAGTGGGTTTTGTTGGGTTTTTTAATAATCAAGAAAAACACTTTGTACAACTCCTGAACTTTATTATCTACCCAATAGTGTGTTCTTTCTGCTGAATTCTTAGGGTAAAAACAGATTTTTTTCAGTTCTGGCCTTCTCTGTGTCTTCACCTCTCCGGCCACTGTCAACTTCATTCTCCCCATTTGTTAGAAGGGTTTTATCTGAAATAATCCTCATTGGCAGAAAAAAGGATTCTCTTTCAAAAGAGACACCAAAAATAAGAGCTTCATATTTTATTGGGGGTGGGGGAGAACATTTATTTCTTTTTGAATTTCGCTATAGAGAATTGCCCTGCTCAGTCAAGCTGTTTGTCAGAACATAATACCTGCAACATGGGACTTCTCCAAGTCACTTCTTGTGCTAAGCTACATCTTAGTGCAGAGTCCTTGTGAGATGGTGTGGCTTTGCTCACACAGCATGGCAGAGTTTTTCTTCCCTGAACACCGCACACAGGCAGTTTCCTTTTCTAGAAGTCGCTAGCCTACAAAATTCAGTGCTCTTCAGTTCTGTGCTGCTGTTATCTTTAAGTGCATTATTCCTCCTCCACATTTCCATTTGCTAGCATAGAGAGCCTCCAGCTAATTTCCCCATTTATGTATGGGCAAACAATCTTGCCACCACCAGCCTGGATCAGCCCTCGGCCACCCACAGGGCCTATGCAGATAGTTTTCTACTGCTATAAGAGTCTTGCACTGCCCCAGTTGGCTATAATAGCTTCTTTGGCTTTTGATCCAGGGTTCAGCTTGTGAAACCCATTAGTTATCACCAAGAAATTAACCTGGATGTCTGGCACTTTATCTGACCACTTGTTTAGCCTGAGAATTTCCATAGCAAAGTCATTGGCCTGCCTTCACTACTGTCTGCATCTGAAATGATCTTCCGTGGTTTCATCCCACAGAACAAAACTAAACTAATAAGTAAAATAGGACACCTCATTGCTATTTATGCTAGTCCACTCAATGTTTGGCTCTTCAGGATTCTAGGACTCACTTATTTCCAAAGCAAGTTTAAGCTAACATCTAATGAACAGTAACAGTTGTCCTGGAATCTGGTATCCCCAAACTATGTTCTTCCATATAGTGTTTCTTCTAAAAGAGAATATATTCACATGGTCTTACTGTGATTGTGAGCTTAATGGCATTACCAAAGTATCTGCTGGAAGACTCAGTAAGGGACAGGTAGAGAAATATCAAATTACTGACAAAGAAGAACATCACATTTTGAGACTCTTTATCATAATTAACTGGTTCCTGATATGCAATTACAGTGTGATCTGAAGAAAGAATACTGGAAGAAAGACTGAAATTCAAAACCTTTTAATTTCTGATTTTATTCCTGCATTCAGCAGCGCCACCTTTCCTCCCTTTCCCAAAATAAAAACAAAACCACCCCAGTTGTGCCACATATGAAGACTGTAGGCTATTGTATCCATTTTTTTTTTCCTTTTCCTGGAACATCCATTATACTAGAAACAGAACTATACTACTTAGATACAGCTACTAGATGCCAACCAACAGATAAATTTTATTTTTCTTAATCTGTTGATTAGCAGAATCACCAGTGTCTCTACTCCCAAATGGGAACACAGATTGGAGAGATTATACTATAGCCTTTGTATTATTACCATACCTCCATATCTACACCAGAAGAAAGTCAATCAAGTTAAAAAGATTCATATTTACAGTTTTCAGCAGTATTCACAGAGAGCAGCAAGTTCCAGGGATTTCCATCACAACAAAGAATTGATCCAGTAAACACAATCACACCTCTACTGCAAACATGGTCATCCTTTAAAAATGATGGCTGCATCTTCACTGTCATGATTTACCAGACTTCAGGTACACAAATTTGCAAATACCTCAAGAAATACATCTCAGATTTCCACATTCATTCTCAACATTTTGCAGGAACATTACCTATTACTGAGTTTAAAAATGAGATTTTAAACATCCTTGGGTCCTCAAAGGAAAGTGCAGCTGCAACCTCAGAGGCATTTAGTCACTCAAAGCTGGATGATAGAATGCACCACTTACCGCTGAACTGGTAATGAAAGGGAATCTAAGTGATCCTCGCCCTTAAAAGCCATATTTATCCTCTTCTTATGTGCACTTCCCCATAGGCTGGGATCTAGAAAGAAAACAGTTATTTAGTAAAGCTAGGGAAACTCAGGCCTCTTCATGCATCGCCCTACTCATCTGTGGAGATAACTCATTAAAAACAATTCAAAAAGCTTCTTTTCCACAGACTACCTCACAACTCCAGCAGATAACCAAGGTCCTTAAGTACATTCCATGGCATAAGCAACATAGGGTTTGCATTTCCTGAACTTCCTGGACTGCTGCAGAGGTCAGAGCCATCTGGGCTGAACATTTCTGAGTTAATATTGAGTTATTATTTAGCCTCATTTATTTTGTACTAACTTGAACTCTAGAAAAAAATCTAATGAGTATTATTGTAATTCTTCATGCTACTGGGAGGAAGATTGCAAGTGAGTGTATGCTCATATGATTTCAGGATCATTTAGTACTACATTTACAGAAAGGTCCTTGATGTCTAAGCTACCAAAGTATTAATCCCATCCATGTTAAACAATTTCATTTTTTTTTTATCCATTTTTAATGCTACACACTCCTCCTCCATGTTTCCCCTTCATACCCACTTACCAAGAGGTGCATCCAAACATTAACTGTACTGGAAAGATACACGAAAGGAGGAGAGAGATTCCTCATTTTCACAAAAGGGAGGGGTGCTGTCTCCTTCCTTCTTCTTTTAATTAGCCTCATCTTACACCACCTACTACAGATCAATGCATATTTGCAACAAAAGCTGTAGAGGATTTTTTCTACCAAAAGAAGTGAAGTCATTTGCACTCACCCACAAGGCCACAGAAAACTAATGCAAAATATTTGAAGAAAAAGATTAATCTATGACTCATGAAGAACAAGGAGGAGACGAATTAATTTGGACGAGGAGACAGGAACAGTGGGGAAATTACAGTTTCTTAGATGTGAAGAAAAAACTGGGATCAATGAATCTCACTCCTGAAGAAAACACTTTACACAGGCAATTACTGCTGTTTGTGTCACCAACTAAGGCAGAATGTTTTTGATGTAGCTGCTTGTGAAATTCTGCTATTTGGTTATTGGCTACATTCTGCAAGCGGAGTCAGCCAGCATTTAAGATATTTACCACTCCAAATTGCTCTTAATTGCCACAGAGTGGTCCTCAGAATCTTTCCTAGCAAACTGATCTCATTACTAATGCATGCCCTTGCTTTTTTCCCCAAGATCTCACAAACATTGTCCTGAGTACCTCAAAGTATTACAATCAACATAATGTGTTCACATACTCTGTCCACTATTAGCACCAGATTGCTTTGGTAATGATGTCGCCTGTGTTCCTGCCTACCGGATTTCCAGATTTTCCTGGAAATAAGATGTATGGACTAGAAGACTGAAACATGGGAGAAGAATCTGTAAAAAAATCCCAAAACCAACACTAAAAAAACCAGATAGACAGTTTAAGTGTTACTGAGTTGTCCATTTTAAAAGGATTGCAGGTATTAGATAGACTGTGACTGAAAATTCGCGTGCCCAAGCATGCAAATGTTAGTATGTATCCTTCTGCTCCCATGCACACAAAGATTTGAAAAACAAGCTTATTGTTGGGCTTTGTTATTCAAAGCATTTAGAATATGATGGAAAGATGGAAAGATTTCACTAACTGGAATAAATCAGCTATCTTCATTTATTTTCACTAGTAGGCTTTTTTCCCTTTTTCAAAGACATTTAAGATTACCAAATGCAAATAATGATATAATCACATTTTCTCTAAATAGCCAAATATCACAATTATCACTGTCTTCCTTTGGAGGCGATATCCTTAACCAAAGCTGAACACCTTAATTTCCTTAATTTCCAAGATGAAGTTTCCCCTCCTGAATCTTATCATATAAAGGACCAAGAAAATAAATCTTTCAACCTACAGAAGTACAGATTTCATGGACACTAGCCATCTCTTTCTGCTCAGCATCAGACTGGGATTTACCTTCTTATGCTACCAACACTAAACCAACAGCTTCCCTCTGGCAAGGTAAAGCTACTTCACCATTAGCTCAGCCTACTAACAATTTCTAACATACAAATCAAAGCCACCTGCTTGTACTCCATTACTTGTGATCAGTGACATAATGTACACAGACATAAATTAGATTATTGCATGTCATTGTTCCCTATAAATTAGAAACCTGACAAAAATACAAGTTTTTATATGCTGTCTTCCCGCAAAACACATTTTTATATTATGTCTGAGAGCCTCTAAAAACATGATCAACTCCTACTTAGAGGTTACTTACACCCCAGGAACAATTACAAAATACACAACAATATCTTAACCAGACTGTCTGGCTCAAGACTATGATTAGATATTAGCTCAAAACTTTAATCCCAAATTAATGTTGGCAGCATGAGAAAATGCTCTCTCCAAGCACTTGGCAGTCTGCCAGAGGACCCACAATACCCCCCAAGACTACAAGAGAAGTTGGAGAACCAGTAACTGTTATGGTACAGGCTCCTCATCCTGCTTGGAATGGCTCCACCACATGCTGGGCAATTATTGTGCTCAATGGCAGACGTTCAGTTTTCAGTGTTCTTGTTCATCTTTCTGGGTAAGACCAAGAATTGTACTTCCTGGTAAAGACTATAAGAGGACTGATGAATTCTTCTGTTTAATTGATGCTGCTTTTTACTCAAGTCCACAACACAGTGTTGAGCTCTAGTCAGCACTCCTAAAAGGAATGTCCTCTCCCACAGCTGACCATGTAGACGTTATGTGTGTGTATACACATACATTTATTAAGTATATGCATACTAACAGGTAACATCAGTAGAGTTCTGTAGGAGAGTCTGGTTTTTCCCATGGGTTCTGTGGCCACTGAATAGGTCCACAGCTGGTCAGAGATGCTGTCTAGGTAAACTTGTACGAAAAAATAACACTACTTGTATTTTGCAATATTGGTGATTTTGGTACAAGCCTGAACCGACACACTGAAATAATAAAATTGTATTATTTGACTATTATAAGGCCTCTTATTTAACACCTTACACTGGATTTTACATAAATATATGTCTGTACACAGACTTGTATTTCAGTTGTAAATAATGACTTATAATTCTTCTGGTAGATAGCAGGGTTCGCGTGTGGAATTAGATGTATCCAAGGCAGCTGCCTCTATGTCCTGCATTTTTGTATTAACACTGGATCAGATTTTAAGATGTTATTTCCTCGTGTTTATTGGATAGATGTAGATAAGCAGATCACAAACATCCTTTCAATCCCATCTAAGACAGTCAGCCAAAAGCTTCTTTCGGAGAACTGGGCTTCGTAAGAAGACAAAGCATCACACCTGAAACAGCATGTAAGCACTATTGGCAGAAAAAGCAGTGTCAGCAGAGGATGTGGTCTTCATGACCAATAAATAAGTAAATAAATAAACAAACACCACATAACCAGGAAGAGGGAACTTGCTTATATACAAGCACCAAGCCTTGCCAGCAATTGACACAGAGAACTAAAAACAGCCTAAAAAAACTGCCAAACTAGCCCACCCATAAGCCAAAGAAGGAAGAGTCTCATCCTGACTTATGCCAGGCTTGGTAGCACCTGTGAAAGCTGTGCAACACCTCATTAGTAGAGTGATGCAGCTGCAACCTGTTAACACACTTGTTCCACAACAACAGACCCCCTCCTGTCTTACAAGAACTCCCTGCTGGGAACTTCCTCTTGCTCAAGTTTGTTTACTATTGGAGAGCAGCTTCTACAGTGCCACATGGCCTTTTAACAATCTACAAAAGATGTTACTCCTCGTAGGTAAACAAATTGTAAAATCTTGTAAAATCTTCCAGTTTAAATTTCTTCTACATCATTTAACATGTTAGTTTATCTTTAACAAGCTAGAAATTAGGAGGATTTCAGCAGTCAGGCTTCTGTTGGAAACAACATCCATGACCAAAAGTATCATGATAACATGTGAAATGTGACTCATTTTTTTGTACTACTGATGGCCCTAAAGTTCTTTATCACAAAATGATGTCCTTAATAATTAAGCCCTGAAACTTCATACAATTAAATTCACATTTTTGAGGTCATTCATGTCATACATGCCCACCTTTGTAAAGGCTGAAATCAAAAGGCAAATCTATGAACTTTGTCCACTCCCCTTCCAACCCCTATCATAATTTCAACACTAACAATGTCTTAAAATAAGGTCATTCAAGAGCATCATTTCTCTTTCAGGAAAAGACAGAAATCCACACACCCTTTGATTATTAATAATCACTTGAATTAGATGAACATACTGCCTATAACCAATATGGTTAACCTGAGAATAAGAGTTATTAGCTAAAAGTCATTTCAGACAAGATATCACTTAATTAATATGAACGGTTCCTGTCTGTACTAAAGTGCAACCTCTGCTCTGCCAAACAGAGCCTGCCCTTACTTTACAATTCTGGGAGTTGGGGAATCATTAGTTATTATTCTCCTGTACACAGAAAAACTGTTAATGGAATGCTACAAATCAAATTAAGAGCAAAATTCTGACAGCATTTATGTGATAGGTCAGAAAGTAAAAACATACATTCTGTCCTTCAGCAACACACCCAGACCATCAGAAGTTTTTCCACACTAGCCATTTCAGGTCTCAGAATCCCATGTCATTTTGCATTCTAAGAGTCTTATATAGACATTAATTAATTACAATAGTAAAAGCCAACTAAGAATTAAGCTGGGTGTCACAAATCTAAGAAACCATAAAACCAGGAGCAAAAATAATGAAGAGTCCTTGAAATGATGCATTAAAATGTCTTGTATTACCATGGGATCATATACGCAGATCTATGTGCCACACTCCTAGAATGCCAAATTAAAACTGGGAGAGAGAGGTGGGAACAGTCACTACCTATGGCATTCATTCATGGTAACTGCTCTTGCAGGACCAATAATCATAGAGGAAGCACTGCTGAAAAGTTTATGCCTTACACCTCAAGTACTATGTGAAAGGTAAATTAATTTTCAGTTACAGAGATTTTTATTGCGTATTTCTTCCCATCTTTTCTCTCTGCCCTCTG